GGCATTGAGGAGCAATTCCAGTCTGGGTTTAAATCAAAACACAGTACTGAGTCTGCGCTATTAAAAATTAATAATGACATTTTGTTGGCCAGGGACTCTGGGGATCTAGTTCTGTTGGTGTTTTTATATCTCTCAGCTGCCTTAGATACAGTGGATCATGAAATCTTCATATCTCCCCTGGAACAGTGTGTAGGAATTCGTGCTACTGTTCTTGATTGGTTTAGATCTTACCTCACGAATAGAAGTTTTTCTGTTAATATTGGTAACTGTTCCTCCTCCTCAACTATCCTCTCCTGTGGTGTCCCCCAGGGTTCTGTACTTGGCCCAACTCTCTTTTCCCTGTACATACTTCCACTGGGATCACTTCTAAGGAGATATGGATTCTCTTTTAATTTTTATGCGGATGACATCCAGATATACTTACCATTAAAAGCAGCTGGAGGGGCATCTCTACAGCCACTGTTTGACTGTTTGACTGACCTGAAAGCCTGGCTGGCTCAGAACTTTTTAAAATTAAATGAGGATAAGACTGAATGTGTTTTATTTGGTGATCTGGCGACATTTGCTGCTTTTAATCATGACTTGGGCCTCCTGGCTCATCATTTCAAGACGACCTAGGGGTAACATTTGACCGTGACCTAAGATTTGACAAGCAGATCAACTCAGTCGTAAAATCTAGTTTCTTTCACCTGAGGTTGCTAAGTCAAGTCGTTTCTTTCTTTTAATGACTTTGAGATTGCAATTCATGCTTTTATAACCTCTAGACTTGACTATTGTAACGCATTATACCTTGGTGTTAATCAGTTGTCTCTCTCTCGTCTTTAAATGGTCCAAAATGCTGCTGCTCGTGTCCAAAAGGCTGCTGCTCGTCTTTTAACAGGTACTAGGAAATTCGACCATATAACTCCGGTATTGGCCTCTCTTCACTGGCTTCCAGTCCGTTTTTGTTTTTAAGGCTCTTAATGGTTTAACACCACCTTACCTCGCTGAGTTGGTGATAATGGATGGTTGGAAGACAGATTAGTTGAGTTTTCTGACTAGTGTGTGCTTGTTGATTGATGCTTTTAAGCCTGATTTTACCCTCACATCATACTTAATATATCCAAGGGTGCAGCTGTTTTGCCTTGTATGGTGTGCAGATGCACAGCTAAGGCCCCAAGTCTGTACAGGGCCTTACCTGTCCTAATAAATGCAACATATTATCACAGTTACTGGACAAATTGAATGCAGTACTGACTTCCTAATGAGTTGCTTTCAGTCCGTGATTAAAGTCTATGATTAATAGTTCTGTCAAATCGACGCATCAGATAAAAGCAAGTGCATGAGATCTTTCATGCCTGTTGAATGTTGTTTATAAAGTGCTATACAAATAAAATTTGATTGATTGATTGATTGATTGGAATTAATAACTGATTGACCCGATTGACTCTACAGCTCCCAGCAATAACCTCAACCAGGCACTTCCTGTAGCTGTGGATCAGACCTGCACATTGTTCAGGAGGAATTTTAGCCCATTCTTCCTGACAGAACTGCTTTAGCTCTGTCATATTCTTTGGACGTCTCCCGTGTATGGCTCTCTTCAAGTCATTCCATAGCATCTCTATTGGGTTGAGGTCTGGGCTCTGACGTGGCCACTGAAAAAGGCAGATTTTGTTTTTCTGAAGCCATTCTGTTGTGGACTTGCTCCGGTGTTTTGGGTCATTGTCCTGTTGCATCACCCAACTACGACAGAGTTTCAGCTGATGTACAGACATTCTCGCATTATCCTGAATGTTTGCTCTTTCACAAACTGCAGGCGTGCAGCAATGTTAATTTTAGTAAGCAGCAGCTTCCTTCGTGGTGTCCTGCCATAGACACCCTGCTTGTTCAATGTTTTACGTACTGTAGACTTATGAACATAGATGTTATCCAGTTCCAATGATGCCTTCAAATCTTTGGCTGTCACTTGAGGCTGTTTCTTTATCTCATTGATGAGTCTTCGTTGTGCTCTTGGGGTCATTTTGACTGAGCGCCCACTTCTTGGCAGAGTAGCAACAGTCCCAAAGTGTCTCCATTTGTAGATCATTTACCTAACGGTAGAGTGGTGAATTTTTAAAGTCTTTGAAATCACTTTATAACCCTTTCCAGCTTTATGTAAATCAACAATTCTTGATCATAGATCTTCTGAAAGCTCTTTTTGGCGAGGCATGGCTCACATAAGCATATTCTTCTTGTGTGGAGCAAACTCAAAAGGTTTGAGTGATTTTTATCAGTCAAAGTAGCTCTAGTCCACACCTCCAAAAAAACAGAGTCAAATAACTGTAGGCTGAGTGTAATAATTTGTGCCTATGAAGAGAGGTTTCAGTGTATGTACTGTATATCTGTACTGACTTTTGCAAACACCTTGTAGTAGTATTTACTGAATACTACATGAAGACAGCTTATATTGTATATCTTCAGACTTGTGATTCTGGCAATTAGTTATTCAAGTATTTAGAACTGAAGCAGTCAATTAATTAGTAAGTTGTCTGGGAATTATCAGCAGCAATTTTGGTAGCTGATTAGCCATTTCAGTAAGTTTCCACTCCAATTGCTAGATTCTCAAATGTAAGGATTTGATGTGTTTTAATGTCATATATCATGAATGTCACTTTTGACTTTTTCCTGTTAGGAGTCGCCATAGTGAATCATCAGTGTGACGATTCGCATGTTGACATTTGGCACTGTTTTATATCCTGGATGCCCTTCCTGGCGCAACCCTGACTCAAACCCGGGTCGTAATGTCATATATCATACTGCATTGAATCTAAGGGTTTTTGTCTGGTCAGACAAAACAAGCAATTTGACATCATGCAGGGCTTTAGGAAATTAGAACTGTCATTTGTTACTATTTTCTGAAAATTCATAGATTTCATGAATTTAAACATTGTGCAGATAATTTAAATTGTGAAAATAACTGTTAGTTGCAACCATATCTAACCTGTGTGGGATACAAAGGTGAAATGGATTAAGCTGTGTTGTGCCCTCTGGTGACCGCTAGATAGCAGTGTTATCAAGAGAAAGGGGCTTTGTCTCAGTTCAACACTCCATTCATGTTTGTTTTTGCCTGCACTTAGAAAATAATTACAACTCCACAATCATGACAGTGCTTTTATTTATTTGCGGAAGGCACAGAGTAGCTGCTTAAGTATTTGATTTACACTCAGAAATCTTGAACTTGGTTATTAATTCTTGAAAAAGGAAAAGGTTGTCTTGAGGTTGTCTTTAGTGCTTTTAACTATATACGTAGGTTATAGCATTAACGTAATGTAAGTTCAGTACAGAGTGTACAGTTTCATCTTAAAGGGCTAACTAGAACAAAGTAGAATGTGAAGAAATATGAAATATCTACTTCTATCTTTTATTTGTTCTTCTAAAAAGAATTTGAAAAACACTGTCTCTCAAAAATGACACTGCTCCAACGTGTTTGTTGTTATTACTAAGGCCTCTGTTGAGGTGGACTACAGTTGTTTTGAGATTATTCAGAATCCTTTAGTTTTTACACACAGTGTTACTCTCAAATGGGCTAAGATTATTTCATCAGTCTACACTCAACCCATAATGTCAAAGTGAAAATATAATTTGCAAATTTCTAAAAAAATTGAAAACTGCCATCTCAAATTTACAAAATAATTCAGTCTTTACTGTGTTCAGGTGGATCCTGTTTGCTTTCATTTCCTTGAGATGTGTCTAGAACTTCACTGGAGGCCATCCATCTATCCATCCATTTTCCTCCGCTTATCTGGGGCCGGGTCGCGGGGGCAGCAGTCTAAGCAAAGATGCCCAGACTTCCCTCTCTCCAGAGGAGAGCTGGAGGCCAGCTATGGCAAAGTGATTTCTTTGGTGATAGTTTGTACAAACCTGTGTATATAAGATCAATGCAATATTATAGATTTTATATATAGTTGTAGTTTTATCTTTTAGTAATTACAAACTAGATTGACACAATCTGATTTGTGAGGTTTACCATTAATAGCCCCCCATTTGCCTGTATTGTGGTTGACCATTCTGACAGACATTTGAAGATTCCTGTCAGGTTTTACTCCATGTTCTCATAAACCACATTGGTAAACTTTGTTCAGACATGAAGGCACATGACACAAACACCATCAGCCCATATTTTAGATTATCTTTGATTTTAATTGGACATTAATTACAGGATATACATAGTGTTTCATTGAAACAAGAGGGTAACACTGGCAAGCAAAGTCCTCTTTGCTCCTGAGGTCAAGAGATGGCTGACATACTCTCCAACCAAGATTTTACTAATCCAGTTTCATGACCAGAGGCCAAAAAGGAAACAAGACTTCTGCCACTGTGTCAGTGGCTTTCACCTATAACACACTTTTCACAGAGTCAACACAGTATGACATTTCAGTAAGTCTTAATGCAGATGAATCAGTGACATTTCATTGTAGCCTATCAGAACAAGTTAAATATCACAAATTCACCAGCTTGGGCTTTTTTTGTTTTACAGTTCCTTTGCATGATTATAAAAAAAAAAGTTGACAAAACATATGTACAGTTGAACTCAATAGATATATATAGGCTATATACAGACATACAGTATTATATAAATATAGTAAAATAGATTAAGTTACATTGATTTCAAGGTCTTCCATAAATAGACAATAACAGTTTGGTGATGTGTTAAGTTACTGTTGGAAGCATAGTGTATCAACAGATGACACGACTCGATGGGCAACAAGTTCCCATTGAGCTCTCAAGTTCTTCATTGTGAGACATTTTGAAAGCAGAAAATTGTGCAACCATGTATAAAAACAATAAAATTATTGTAACAGACGCTTCCCTCGATCTTCTCTTATGACAGGCATAGCGACCTCCAGGTCTCAAAGCAGTAGTGTCATGGCTGCACATCCAACAAGATCTTCAGCATGTTATAGACAAAATACAGTGTCAAAAGAGCCCTCTTGTGAGATACTCTACGGCTCCCAGTGTCACATTTGAAATAGCAGGTTCTGTTTTATACTTTGTATTACAAGGAAAGTTGACATTATAAACAACGTCACAAAGCCTCGAAATGAATACTATATAGATGTGTACTAGGCCTGGCTAATGAAAACTGAACTCTAATTTTTTTCTGAAAAGTAAGTGCTTTTCAATATACAAAGATACTTTCCAAATTAATTTTTGGCAAAGTACTAAAGGAAAGATTTAAAAGAAATGTTAGAAGGAAGTTCATTGCCCTTGAGGAGGGTCCATTTTCAAGTTTGCCTCTTGTCAGTCTTCAGGAGATTCACATACTTTTCTCAGTAGGATTTATTGTTGCTGAGCTCTGACGTCACAGCCACACTCACATACTTGAGTGTAAACTGCATTTTGAATTCTTGGGAGTATGTGATATCAGTTCTGAGGCACCTTCAAATATTTGATTTCAGCTGTACCATAACAAAAATAAGAAAAAAATTTACAAAAAAAAAAATTACAGAAAAAGTTACAACAAAAAGAAAAACGTAAAACACCATCTATGTGGCCTATAAACAGCATACTGTACAAAGTTCAGATACATTCTCTTGGAATGGCATGGTCTGTTGCTCAGGAAGTCTAATCTGAGCATCAAGTAAGTTCTTGTGTTTTTCTTTTTTAACAGTACGGTTTGATCTTTGTTGGTCGCAAGAAGCTTTTTCTTTTCTCTGGCAGGCTGTAGCAGAAAACGTCAAACCTTAGTGTCCTTTAGTGCTTTTGTTTGTGCTGGCTTCAAAATTGTGCATCCAGTCCAGGATGATGAGGCTCATGCTGCCGATCATGACTATGATGCCACATAGGAGGAAGGCGGTGGCCTGGAGAGGGAAACAATTTCACACTGAGCTAACGTGTTCTACAAAAGTAATAGATTCCAATAGTCAAATAAGCATCTATAAAATGATTCTCTGGGTATGTTTAGGTAATTCTATGTGGAGGTATTAAGAACCAAGTCCTTACCCCAATCTTTTGCACAGATTTCATGGACTCTTTCTTAACCAGTTTTATGTAGAAGGCTGATGGCAGGATGAAGATGAGCATGGCAGCAGCAGAAGCGCCTGGAAGAGGAAAGAAATTTTGCATTTTAGTCACAATATTTTGTATTTGAGATGCTTACTAAGATATTATCATACACATAGACACCCACCAATGAAGCCAAAGATGTCCCTGATGGTGGGTACCATGATGACTAGGCCATTGGTGGCAACCAGTAGGGCCACAGTAATGATGGTGTGGCGGATCCAGCTGAACTCCTTAGTGGCGCACAAAAGGTGGGTAATGGAGGTACGAATCTACACAGAGACAAAAAGAGAGGTTATCCTACATGACCCACTAAACTCTACTAATAATCGAAGATCTGAGCTTGACTTCCTTGACACTTACAGGGAACAGCACCACAGGCACGGTGAGGGTGACGGCAGCCAGCACAGCCAGGCGGACAATCAGCAGAATCACATCAAACTGATTGAACTGGGCATAGGTGCGCAGCAGCTCAGGGCCCACGTTTGCTGTATGGAAAGACAGAAGAAACCATTTAGAGATGACTCACAAACATAACAGGTGAAACGTTCTCTAAGAAATATGCAGGTCAAGATCAGATGTAGTCTATAAAGAGCACAGGCTGTAAACCTTCCAAAGCTGTCAGAACTAAGTTTTCCATGACACCATATAAAGCTTTTACTTTTGACTCCCAGCTGTGCTTTGTGGTTAGTACTAATCATCAAATGCTAGTATACGAACACGTTAGACTAGGTTGGTAAACATTACATCAGCATCAACATATCACTGTAATTGTGAGCACATTAGCTTGCTTACATTCACATTTAGGTCAAAGTATTGCTGTGCCTATGTAAAAAAAATGTAAACAAGATGTTAGCATGAAAAGAAAGTCTGAGTGTAATATTTTTATAAATGTGTGAAAACAACACAACTCAGACTTAAATTAAAACTCATCTAAATGTTTTCAGTAGTGTGTGAAATATTTTACTGCATTCATGACTTCTGCATATGTATTAGATTTGTTTCCTCAATTGCAGTGTATTTCAATCCCACACAGACTTAATTTTTAACTGCAGCTCCTTTCCTGTGACTGGCTTAACTTTTCCACACCTTGTGTCTTGTCCTAAATGTAGCAAAGTCCACCAATCAAACATCATAATGATTCAGCAGTCTCTCCTTGCCCTGATTTAAACTAAGCTCCACCTCAGGTTTTGCCCTGTCATGATGGTTGAAGACACTGTTGCTAACTGTGCTCTTGTATAACTAGTCTCATGTTCCAGGAAAAAGTCTGTATATTTACTTGGATGTCCCTGCCATGACAAACAGAAAGACAAACACACTGGCAGGCTGGGAAGCTGCATCAGGTGGGGCTTTTCACAGCCTGGTGTAACAGACGTGGAGTTGTATCGTGAGCATTTTTTTCCAGAGAGGAGGATCTTTATTTAATTTGGGCATGAATGCTTCTTCCCTCAACTTTGGGATTGTTGATCTGCTCTGACATTTAGTGCAATGACTGCTTGTAAACCCACACTGGTATGATTAACTCATTGTTGTGTTCTAGTCATCTGTTTTTGAATTGAAAGCATTTTGGCACATTTTTTATGCCACATAAGTTTCTACATGCACACATAGGTGGAGCCAAGGGTGGCACAGGCAGCAAAAATATGATTGGCCACCTCTGCTGCCATCCCTGCCAGAGTCTAAACGTGATGCTTGTCAGTATTAATGAATAAAAAATAAAAAACAATGACACACTGTTGACTTTAATACAACTAACATTTTTCTGGTGCTTTATAATTAATATTGGTCAAATTAGTTTTATTTCATTTGAATTAATTTCTCCAGTTGTTGTGGAATATTTGGCATGATTTGCCTCAGTGTGCAAGAACCACTGTGCAGCATTGATGACCCTGGCAGGAGTAAATGAGGAGTGCAGCCAAAGTTAGCTAAAGAAACCACTACTTGTCATTTTTACCCAAAATAAACTGTTTGATTCCTAATAACATATGGTTTACTATTTCATTGAACTAGGGGTGTACTTTTTTCATATATTTTAACTGTGCCACCCCTCTCTGTGTCTGTGCCCCAGCCTGGCCACCCCATCCAAAATTTCTAGATCCACCCCTGCATGTACACAGAAACAAATATGATTTCTGATTGTCCGCTAAATGTACTGCCTCAAAAATTATGTTACAACTAATGTTGAGGGATCATTCTCTCATTTACTTGTTTAACTGTATGTTAAATCTCAGATTAGAGAATTGCTTTGCTCAATAGCAGATGCCTGCCACTTCAGTGAATAAATTTATGCACACACATCAAATATTTTTTCCCCTGACTCACAGTTAAAGGTGAGGTAACCGAAGAGGGCTGCCAGCAGGTACATGATGAACATTGCCAGGAAGGACACATTGGCAACACCTTGCATCTTTCTTCGGGAACGGCTGTTTGTGTGAGAGAGAAGAGGGTTTTGTTTAGACACCAGGACACAGTAATCTTTGAGTTTTTAAGAATGCAGCTGTGTTTTGTTGTTTGGTAGAACACGATGAACAGAAAACAGTTTACTCACTCCTTGAGCTCCTCATATATGGGCAGGATGGCCGGGTGGCACACAAAAGCAAATGTCAAGATGGGAACAGCATAGACAGTCTGGAGATAATAAAAAAGAACAAAACAAATGACACCCAAACATTACATAAAATTTTACTAGTTTTCACAGAAATCTGAATTCCCCAGACATTTATGTGTCAGAGAGCCTTACCTGCGAGTTGAAGACAAAGTATTTTGGCATGCAAGCATCCTCACTGTAGTCCACAGTGGTGGTGTTGAGTTGGGACCATGAAACGTTCAGCAATTTGCTCACTGTTTCATTCAGAGCATTGACATCAACGGGCAGGGGGCATGGGATCTGGAATTTCTTGACGATCACCTGGAGGACAAGACAGCAGTTTTAGGCTAAATTTGCTATTACTGTGGGCAGATATTTGCTAGATCTTTACATTTGTCCATTTAATGCTGGGTGAAAACTACATTTATTCCATCATGAGAAACAAAAACCACTGAAACCCGACTACTGTGAGAAATAAGTTCAGTCAGTATTCCAAATCCAGTTTTAAGTTATCAATATGTGGAAATGTTTTACTCACCACAATCAGAAAGAACACCATGCAAAGCAGCGACAGGCCGCTGGTGTAGCCAAGGTAACCTGGGGAAAGGGCAACAAAACATGAGCTGCTGGTTTTTTATGAGTAGCTTTTTTAAAAAGTGGCACCAACGCCTAACTTAATTTAGAAATGTGTCCAATGTTACAACACAGACAAACACACAAGTGTGTTTTCATTGCTCGCAGGGACTTTACATTGAGCTCCTTATACATGGGCAGGATGGCCAGGTGGCACACAAAAGCAAATGTCAGGATGGTCCCCACCATGTAAATAACCCGTCTCTGGTCCCCACAAGGAAGGCAGAGTCCCCAGAATGTGTGTGTAAATAGGTTTTGGTCTCCACAGTGCAAGTAATACCAAGGGTCCATGCATGCACACACGCACACACACACAAACACACATCCAGCTTACCCAAGTTCTTGAGCAGAGAGAGGGGCAAGATTATCACAACTGTCACCAACAGCACCAGGTAGTCTCCATTAGTGTACCATTCTCTGAAACACAAGAAACAGCAACATGTTAGTGACACTTACTGCTTTTGAACCAACAAGAATCATTTTACCCTAAGCTGAGGACTCACTATAAGAAGAGAGTAGTTAACTTCCTTAGATTAAAACAGCACTGAGGAACTGAACCAAACTTGAAAGAGGTCACAGTGAGTTCATCCCGCGCTCTGTCTCAATGCGGCACTGGCTGCCTCTTCTAAATGAGCTCTTTGAAGGGTCGCATGAAAAAAGTGAACACTATCTGTTCCTTTAAAACTTCCAGACCACCGCCAACCCTACCTCTACTCAGACAGAACCACTAAGGCACCGCTGCAACTTATCCAAGACTCAGCATTTGAAAAAACATCTGGCAGCCATGTTTCTTGATGTGCCACCTCACCTCATTGTGTTTCTGCCAGTTGTTCATGTTCTTTTGTACACCTCATTTAACAATCCTGTTCTGTTGGGAGATATTTTACTGTACTAGAACACACAGCTTTCCAACACATCACTCACATCTCATGTTATTTGGAGTCCTTACTTCCCTTTTTGGGAGGTGTAAACTACACTGTACTGACAGTGACATTTGACTTAGTGGACAGCTCAGGGCCTCCATTGTAGGGTCCATGTTTTTTTACACATGGATTTTGCTTGTTTACAAGAAAACTCAAGTGGGCACCTTTAAAAATCCTATTTAGACTTGGTCTTTAAATAGATTCTAAAACCAAGTCTAAATGGTGTCAGTTAAGTGATCACACGTTAGCTGGGTTTATATATCTGATCACTCACCCATTTTTGGTTCCTAGAAATGCTTCAATGACAATGGGCAGCTCATATTTGATGATGTAGAGGTAGCTTGACATGGCTGTAAAGACAAAAACTGCATTTAGTATATTTTCCTGTAAAGTAAGCCAAGTCATCTCCATGTAGGGAACTCCACTATAAAAATAGTGGTCTAATATTTTAAGAGGAACTGAGTTGTTTGACATGCTTGTAGAATGACTGAAGTTATTACAGCAAGCTACTGTGTTTTCCAAAAAACATTTTAGTTTCCCTCAGCCAACATGTATGTTTTTCTTCTTTTTTATCCATCTAGTCAATTTAGATACTGTTGTGGGTGCTGAGAATGTGTGAGATCCGCTGACCTGCAAAACACCAGCAGCTTGCTGTAGTCTTCCTGGAAGACTATGGTCATTAATCATAACCCCCCCCAGTGTGTGACTGAGCTTGCGTCCTTTTAACAGTACAGAGGGACAATGTTTTAGCTTGTGGAATAAGTCTCTGGTAGACGCACATAGACAAGTAGTTTGATTATTGTTACATAGCACTTGCTCACCTCCAATGTTCTGCATGGTTATGGAGCAGGAAGCAGCGAGTTTCCCTGGCATCCCAAAGGCTTTGTAGCCTAGCTGCTCATACACCAGTGCACCTTTGAAAAAAAAATACACACAAAATTTAAGAATTAGAATTAAAAACTTAAAGAAATCACTGAGATGTTTGCATATACTACTATCTAACAGACTCACCTCCTTCATTGGCTGTCTTTAGCAGCAAGTGGACAGAATACAGAGAGAAGATGGCAACAGCCACGAGGAGAATCCTGGGAACAGAGGAGAGGGATCTCAACTAAATGTTGATTTGCAACCAAGATGGACATTATATGGAATGAAAACAGAAACAGCATTAGCCTACAGGTTCTGTTAATCATGAGCATCATCAGTGGGGTTCCAAAGGACAAAAGGTTTCCCTGTATGGGAGCCTCCTAGGAGGCTTGGGACAATGCAGAGTCAGCGCTGTGTGCCCTGGGATATTAATTATCCAGGTGAAAAGTGATCTGCAGGCCACCTGAGACCAATGCTGTAAAGATGCAACGTATCCTCTCAACATATGACTTGACTTGTGACCTTAAAGCATTGTCTTTCTGCTGACATAATCATTTCTATCTTCTCACTTTATACACTGCAACAGAACAAATTTCAAAAATATAAAGAAGAAAGAAGGAAATGGCAGTGCGTTATGAAGAAATAAAAGGAAGCCAGTACAATACTCTGTTGAATCTATGTTTGCCGGCCTGAGTACGGGATGGTTTCTGGTGGAATGTGAGAGGTCAGTCTGTTTTTCACAACTCTTAATTGCTGATGAGACAACACCAGACAGCATTTCAAAATGCAAACAGACAGCTCTCTTCAATTAATCAATGACAAAATGCAGATAGAAATACTTCCAGCTACATCAGCTATGTAGTTGCTGTTTGGTTTTTGTAATCTTCCACTTCCTGCAGATATAGGGACACAAATTGGCCAGATGCTGGCTGACAGTGAATCATATCCTGCTCCATTCATTATGTCCTATGAGCATACAGTAGGCATCTGTTTATGTACAGTAACTCTGGCCCAAATGCAAAGAGATTAGCTGGGCTAAACTGCTTTTCCTGCCACTCCCAGTGTTGGTAAACTGATGTATAACTTCTATTTGGTGGCAACTAAAGTATCTCCTAGCTTGCTCTGACTTATATTTTAAAATATGTTACAGAAAAATATCACTTTTCCTTTTGAAAAAGCACTTTACTGGTGTTTCTTCAGTTGGTCTCTAGCTCCTGTGGGGTTCAAGGTGGATATCAGAGACAGTAAGAGGATTAGGGATCAGCCCTGTGTGATAGTAAATCCTTTGGCCTCTTTAGATAGGAGTTCTTGTGTGTGGTTTAAGGAAAACAATTATCTAACTACAAACGTTTGGTATAATATGCAGCTCAGGGTTGAGTGGCTGTGGAACACACACAGACATTTGTGTACTTCTCTCTTTGTGCAGACACTCAGACATAATGCATTTCCTAGTCCCTTACCCTAATACAAAACCATCAGAACTAAATGCCTAATGCTAACCGTTACCCTAACACCTAACCAAAACCTAATTCTAACCTGAATCCTAAAACCAAGTCTTAACCCTCAACAAGGTGTTTCAGAAAGTGAGTACTGGCCAAAGTGTCCTCACTCTGTAGCAAAAAGTACATCATTTGGTCCTCACTACATAGCATATACAAGATCACACACGTACAGTGGGCGGGGTAAACCTGTTCTGTAAATGTACCGTGTATTATGACCTGAGGCCTTGATGCAACTTATAAAATCACACCTGCTGATCTCATCCAGTTACTCTGGATTATGAAACAAAAGCATGCCAGCATCAAGTGGGAATTCTCCTTTTCTTCGAACCTCACCCATTTAAATGACTGCATTATTACTTCAAAATCTTTCTTTCTTTGATATGAAGGTTGCTTGCAGTGGTTTGAGCCCCACTATTACCACAAATTCACCTTTTTAAACCTTTACAGCCCTGCATGTAAAATGTATAAATACCTTTAAAGTGAAGACTTTCAAAAGACCCCTATCTATGTTTAAAACTTACACAAATAGGGCGATGCCAGTGTTGGCCATAGCATACGACAGACCCAGGATGCCACTGCCCATGATGGCGTTTCCCAGGTTGAAGACAGACATGCCAAAGGAAGCATTACCCTGGTGCTGTGGAGAAAATAAATGATAAACTGTTAGGAAATCATAAAAAATGACAAGTGTTTAAAGGAGATCGAAGTGGTGGAGGATAAGAGGAGCTCTTACATATTCAGTCTCATACTTCTTTTTGCCCAGGCTGTGATCAGGTAAAAAGTTTTGATTCTCTGCATCTAGATCAGGGTAGTGGCTTTAAAAGGAAACAAAAGAGAGAGGACTTTAGAGATATTAATGTCATTTGACTCCAGAAAATGGCTCATATTCAGTTATATTTTGTGTGCTCAATCTGTTCTGTTCAGCCATCCTTACCCGTCCAATGGGATCTTCTTTGAGCAGTCACTGTTCTCAGTGTTGCTGCTGTCTTCTTCATGACAGAAGTTCAAATGGTTCATCTCAGTCTTGACAAGATGCTGCATCTTACTGTGAATTTCAGAGCAGGAAAAAAAAAGACCAGTTTTATTGTTTCTGTTATTTTTACGCATTTCTGTGTCTTGCCCTTCCTCCCCAGCCCATATTTATTTCTAGCTGTGTGCGTTCACGTTTCTTTAGAATAATCAATGTTACAGTGAGCAGGCGCGCCCAGAAGGGAGGAGGAAGGAGCGGGTGACGCACCGGCAGTGGAAAAATACCAGACCGGTATCTGCGGCCACCCGACATCATCTAAGCCCTGCTGTAGACACAGAATGGCAAAAAGCCGCATTACACGCCACAGACTTTCCCTCCGAAATCAACTTCAAAGGTGGAATGAAAATATCGTGTGTTCGTGTTCTTTGCTGGCACAGTACATTCTTTAAACTTGTAATGAAGCGGAATCAAATGACATTAAGGCAAAATGTGATGTGGATAGTCTAAATCTGATATCGTAATGGTTTTTTGTCTTTATTGTTTTGTTTTTGCCGTTTGTTTGTTTTGGCTAAATGGTAGGAACATACAAAGCCACAGAGAGCCCCAAAACGCCTAACCCAAGGTCCATGTAATGTAAGTTTCCATAACCGGCACCAATGGAAACAGTGGCACGTGCTGTGTCTGTATGGCTCTCCATTTTGCGCACAGGCTTTAGATGGCTCTGACTCACTGTTATTATCAGAGGCTTTTCAGATTACACACAGCTAGGCAGTTTATATACATCTTCATTTTCACCCTTTTTAAAAAAATTGAATTAGCTTTGTTTGTGGTTTACATCAGCGCCCCACAGCTTCATTATTTATTTACTTGAACCAGGTTGACCTGTTTAGAAATAACGCCCCGGGCTTTTTAGAAAAGACGTTTCTGGCTCTTTAGAGGTGTGCCACGAATCTAATAATATAGCAGGAAGTGTGTTTAGTAACTCAAAAGAGCCGGTAATGCTTCTGCTTTGAAATGAATGAGATTCAAAATGGAAATCAAAAGGCAGTTAGTGAGATAATTCTATCAATTCAACAGCGTAAAAGCTTTATCCAAAAGCGAATATTTCTCTTTCTACTGTAATCCGGTAATTTTCTAACAGCCGGTGAAGGATGATGATGATGATGCCAGTCATTCTTACCTGTAAAAGATGTTGCAGGATGCCTGTAAAATCCTTTAACTAAAAACCCCGAGAAACAGTAAATGTCCGGACGATTTCTTCACAAAACCGACTGATCCTTGTGTGTATTTAGGTTAAATGAGAATGAAGTGAACGATAGGTCAGTTATGCGTTTGGAAAGAAAACCCCGTTCTGTTCTGATGGAGAGGGGGGGTTGACTCAGCTTTATAAAGATGAGAGCGTTGCATCAGCCGAGTACTGGAGAAAGGGGTGTCTAGTGGGAGGAGGAGGGTAGAAGAGGAGGAGTGGCTTCACCCTGATTGAGGAGCAAGAGATTCACGCCTAGTGACGTCGTCTTGTATACAAAACACAGTAGTGACCTAGAGTGCGGAAAACCACAGGAGTCCTCCAGCTATTTGACACTATGTTCTGTCATATAATTATTACACTATGTTCTGTCATATAATTATTACACTATGTTCTGTCATATAATTATTACACTGTGTTCTGTCATATAATTATTACAAAAATACATATGAGACCAAGAATATATGCATGGGTCACTACGCCACAGATATTATGTCTAAAATATTAAAATGTTCTGAATCAGTACTTTATTTTTAAAAGTAGAATAAGGTTACAACATGCTTGTTGAACTCCATAGATACACTGCAGCTGATGTTTTCTTAAAGGTCAAGTGGCCTTGGCATCTGTCAGCCCAGATCGGAAAGTGAGGGGAACCTTCACATCACACCTGTCTGTCTGAAGGAGATTATGCACAAACGGAGTCATGTGACAGCAGCTATCCTGATCCTTATTTAAACTGTTGGCTCCTCTTGTTATGTCAGACTCCTTTTCATGTGTGTGGGAATAAAAGCTTTATTTTTAATGCTGGAAGAGCTGGGTATTGCATCAGGAAGGTGAATTGACTGA